AAAAGGGAGGGGAGGGGAGGAAAAGGGAGGGGAAGGGAGGGGAGGGGAGGGGAGGGGAAGAACTGGGAAGAGTAGGAAGAACTAGAAGGATGGGGGGTGGGGGTAGGTGACACTATGATCCAGATATATTGTATGAAAAAGAAATGTTTTCAACAAAAACAAAACAAACAAATACTAGCTGCTCTTACAAAGGAGCAGATTTGATTCCTGGCCCCACACGGTGGTTCACAACCATCTGTAACTCTAGTTCCAGGGGATGCAATGCCCTCTTCTGGCCTCTACATGCATCTGGGATATATAAAGTATACAGATAAACATGTAAACAAAACACCCATACATATAAAAATTATTTTACAATTTAAAAAAATGTATTTTATAGTTGTATTTTATATTTATATTCTAAAATATTTATAATTTAATTTAAAAGATATATCTTGAGGTTTTGAAGCAAAAGAGAACAATTCATGTTTTGAGTATACATAAAACAGTTTATTAAGATTCACAGGAAAAAATTCTAAGTACTATGCATAGACTATCATGTAAACCCCTGGGGTTCTGATTTCACTGTAAAATGCACCACAGGAATCTTTGAGTTACTTTCTCATAGCTTTAACTTGTACCTGTCTAAGCTAAAATACATACACTAAACTTACATAAACTCAAAAACAAAAAATACTACAAATACTTGTTGTATATTACTACATAACCAAAGCCTGAAGACTAACTATATGGAGTCATTCAGATTTCCCCCACAAATACAACTTTGGGTTGATATGTTTTTGATTCTAACATGTGTTTGTGCTGCTCTCTACTGGCAGGACCGCCAAACTGCACTTTATAGACTACCCGGGTAAGACTAAATCTTTTCTCTTAAGAGTAATCTTTAAACATATTTTTATTCTATTTTAAATGAAATGACAAACAGATTAAAATTTATTTCAGAGTAAAAGGATTAGGGCATTATGTTTTTTTGTAAATCTTTTACAGCAAACTATAAACCCTAAGACAAATGGCTTATAAATTAAGCTTTGGTACATATCAAATGATAAACAAAATTCAAGTATACAAATTAGATTTCCTTTATGTACAACTGATATTGAATAATTTTTTTTCTCAAGGAGCAGTAATGTTCACTTTCATCCAGGTCACAGGCTAATGCATTAGTAGCATTTATGCAGTCTCAAAGGTGAGGTTTCAGAGGATCCTTCTAGGCCAAAGAATGGCCAAACCACATATGGATAATTCTCAAACTAAAGGTGCTGTAAGGACTCCTTTGTAAAGTTATCCAAGGTAACAGAAACCCTGAGTACACTTCCTTTTGTTTGTGGTGTGTCTGCATGTGCATCTGTGCTCTACAGTCTGATACAAGGACAGAGCATGTAGATACCATAGTGTGCTTGCCAAGGTCAGAACAGGTATCTTTTTCATGGCTCTCTGCCATCCTCCCTTCAGACAAGGTATCCCACTGAACTGGAAGCACAGCATTTAGCTACACTGGCTGGCTAGTGACTCTCTCTCTGAAGCGCCTGTCTCTGCTCCGAATGAGGGGCTTACTGGCATACATACTGGCCTGGCTTTTTACATGAACATGAATGACGTGAAGCATTCTTACCCACTGAGCCATCACCCCAGCTCCCCTAAGTTTACTTTCTTATGTTTTCTTTTCCTAGCTTATGAATTATATCCTTCAAAAGTAAAACTGATAAGCAGATCACAGTTCTCTTAAGTGGCAGCTTACAGAAGTTCTCTTGCTGTCTGGTGGTTTTGTTAGTTTTGCATTTGCCTTCCTGTTTAAGTAGTAATGATCAAATTAATAAAGTATTGTCCTGAAGAAGTTATCTAAAAATAAACCTTCATTATCAAATCCAGACTCTCAAGGACTTCCATGACTAAACTCGACTTTGAAAACTTGAGCATTTGTTGGCTTTTAAACACACTCGAAGCAATGAAAGCAGTCCTCAGCACTCTGAAGTACTCCATATCGTCACTCACTCTTGGAATGAGGGAGGCAGGGGAAGAATTCAGATAGCCTGCCAGAGCAGCAAGGCCAAGATTCACACATATAGGAGCCGATGCCCAAGGCCAGCGCTCACCACTGATCCTTGCTGCTCAGTTTCACCAAATGAGGAGCATAACCCTGAGCATCAGCCTGAGGGAACTGCAGCCTCAGCAGCTGCCTTCCCCATGTTACAAAACGGCAGTCTGCCTTCAGAAGAAATAAATTACCACGTTCAGAGGATCCTAGACACCTCCATTATTATACTGGGTTCCTGGTTTTAGAAGAAGCAAGGGATTTTCTGGTTCTGAATCCTAAACCTGAGGGCAAAACAAGGCGGCTTGCTGAACTGCGTCCTTTGAGGCCATAACAGCTTTCACCTGTCAAGGCCACAACTGGAGGGACACAGACAGTCAAGTAAACCTGAGGCAATACACACTAACCTATGCTCTATTTCATAAATTCTGCTGTGAATTTTCTACAGTATTTCAGAATATTAAAACAAACATCCAATTCATAAGCCTACAGAACATTCAACTACTAAATTCAATCCTTCTTTGAATATTTTCAAATTCTAACAGTTCTGCTTCACAGAAACATACCAGCAAGAGGCGGCTTGTGTGAGTGAAGAACACAGGGCACACTGACAATCAACTTCTGATCTGGGACAGGGGGTACTCTTACATCTGCGTTCCTAATTAAAACACAAAAAAACAACCAACTATTACTTAAAGGATAATTTTTAATTGTATGTTACAGTTGCATTGATTTTTTTGTCTTTCAAATAGTAATTAATTCTAGTAATAAATTTAGGAATAGAATCGATGAGATAAATCATTTTAAAAATTCGAACATCTTTAGAATGTAATTTTTCATATTCGCTACTATGCCCTTGATAAAACAAAAGCTAATATAAATTTTTATCTATTACATAACATACTTTTCAGCTCTGGGCTATTTTCAGTTATCAAAAGTATAAAAATTAAGGAAAATCAATGATCACTATATTAATTTTAAAAGTTTATATTTATATAATTTTGAAAAATTGCTTTTCTTACCTTAATGCTAAAGCAGTTTTTTCTTTAACTCTCCCCAGTACAAGACATTCATAAGGCTTTTTGTGTGGAGAATCCAACGGGAACACAAACTCTCCTGAATTTGTGACCTGAAAGGAATGAACCAAGGAAAGCCATTATTTTTTTACCATCATTATACAGTTTCCAACAAAAAGAGAAGTTATTAAACCTCCAGGCTAGCATTGTCCAATAAAAAATATTGTATGTGCCATGAATGCAAGACACATATATAATTTTAAATTCTCTAGTGGCAACATTAGAAAGAAGTTTAAAAAAAATAGAATGCAAGGTAATTTACTTTAATTGCATTTAATCTGCCATGTCTAAAACAGAATTTCCACATGCAATCAGTTTTTAAAAGGTCTCATGATGTATGATATTTTTTTCCTCTGTAGTGGGTCTTTCAAGTGCAGCACATATTTAACACTCAACAGTCCCTCTCTATCTGAAGGGCACAAGTGAAGCGCTGGAGAGCTAAGTGTCACAACAGCTACCACACTGGACAATACAGCTATAAGGCATGTTTGAACACTCACATACCATGGATGCTTTAAAGATATTGTATTGTCACCTTGCACATAAACAATCTCTACTTTTTATAACTACTCATTCCTGGAAACCAGGCCATCATTAACTCAGTCATTAATTCTTTCAAACGACATTCACTGATTACCAGCCATGTGACCCAGTAGTTAAAACTCAAGCCTTCCATAGTTAAGACAGCAGAACGTCAGAGTCACAGTTTAGTCAGGGAAGAAAGTGGGGGAGGTGATGAGGTGGAAAGGACCTGGGGCAGAGGCTGGCTCTTGGTGCTATAAGTTGTAGCCTGGCCGCTTAGAAGGATACTGTCTCCAAAAGAAAACAAATCGGAGACTGGGAGCCTAGAAGGGAGCCAACCATGGTACATAGGTTTACAGCCATCCTTAGCTACATAGCAAGTTCAAGACAGCGTGGATTACAGGAGACTCTGTCTCAAGGGGAAAAAAACAGAGAATGACAGAGTCTTGGTCCCTGCACCTTCCCATACTCTCCACGATGCTCGGGCTCTTCTCTGCCCTCATCCCCATAAACAGAGGAAAAACCATGGGTAATGTGAAGGGCAATGAAATTTTGGTGTATGGAGGAGAGAATAAAGGCAAGGCAGGCCTCACTTCCTGTTCATTCAACTACAGTTATCACATGGCTGGGAGTGCACATGTGTGTGCACACAAAAGGTTTTTTTTAATAAACTAGAGTTTTTTGTAACTTTATTCTGATCTCTCCCTGATTTCCCAAGGCCAATGTTGTAGGATATTCGATCACACTGTGAACCTCAAGATTGTGTTATTTAATGGGAAAAAAAAACTACTTCCTTTAATCCAAGAGCTTTCTGCTTGAATATTGTAAACAGGATTAAATAAAGTCAACTATAGGTCAAGAGGCAGAGCAACCAGCCGACAGGAAGTGAACATAGAAGTATTAAGAAAAAACCATAGAGAGTAAGAGGGAGTCAGGAGGATGGATAGAGAGAAACACGGGAAGTAGGAGGGAAGTAGGAGTTTGAAAGAGGTTTTCTGAGAAGGTGTGAGAGAGGGGATTTCTTGTGGGATGTCTGCTAAGGAGGAAAGTCAGCTAGGTGCTTTCTCTGCCTCTCTGAGCTAGCAGGCCTTCATCCCAGCGCCTGACTCCCAAGTCTTCATTGGTAAAATTGAATGGTTAAGATTTTGTTAAAAAAAAAAACAACAGGCTGCAGTTTGGGAGCCCACTACAGAGACATAGGATAAAGACCTTGAGAGCAGGTGGACGGGTGTTTAGATACAAAGCATGGACAGTTCTCATCAGAGCCTTAGGAGGACAACGGTGCTGTGGACACACTGAGGACAGCCAGCTTCTTCCTGTGACTGGAGAGGGACCTGAGCTAACAGACAGAGCTAACTTCTGGACTCACTTTTACCCAGTACCATTCTGCAACAACTTCCACAGACCATGAAGGATATAGTTCTTCCTTCACAAAACACAGATGCTTCTGCCTGTTGGTCACCCAAGTAACGACAAGACAGTCAGCAGCAGCCAGCTTAGGGACAGGCATTCGCTTTATCTGCTGTGGTGATAAACTATTGTACCTAAAAATGAACAACAACAACAACAAAAAAAAAAAACTGTAAGAAAATTCACCCCAAGACAGACATAGAAGCAGGGGAAAGACCCCACAAATACAAAGGTCTGGGAAGCCATGCACGTGTGGCTACATATGGAGTCACACTGACACCTGGTGGACTCACTGGCACTTGCACGTGTACCAACTTTTCTATCTTACTAGTTTTAAATTGCCAGGCTGTATGTTTCTTGTTTTTTTTTAATTTCATATGATTTGCATTTTGATGATTTTTACCACATCTAATATGCCTTTTCTCTCATTCAGAATTAAACAAATATTGTCTGGATTTGGTCATCCTGTGTTTCACAGAAGCCCCATCAGAGTGAGCTTGAAACTGATGTCCCAATAACCAAATGGGAACATCACCTGATACAAAGAAGCACTGGCTGTGAGGCCAGGGATGGAACAGCAGGATGACTTCAGCGAGGGGCCTCCAGTGTGTAAGCCTCCAGTGTGTAAGCCTCCAGTGTGTAAACCTCCAGTGTGTAAATCCTCCAGTGTGTAAGCCTCCAGTGTGTAAGCCTCAAGTTCATGAGCCTCGAGTGTGTAAGATTCATGCCTTGCACACACTGCTGACCTCTCGTTCACCTACCACCTCACACAACCTCACCTTCCTTCCCTTTACAGTTCCAAGGCCCTGTCTACCACTGCACACCTCTCTCCTATTCAATCAGTTCCACTGGGCTCTCTCAAGCCTTCATACTCTGTCTCGTTTCATAGGCCCACTGTCTTATGCCTCCTGGCCATTAACAATATAAAGGAAACTTGTTTGGCTAAATCACATAACTTGTTCTATAAATATCCAAACAAATACAACTCTTTCTCCAACATTCCCCATACAACTGGAGATGACAAGCTGTATTCTAATGTCCCATTATTGCTTCTAGACTCTTTCAACTTTGGCAAAAACTCCTCTTCTCTTTAAGAGGTATGTTACCCAGCCATACTAGCCCCAAACCTTCCTCAATGAACACATTTTATCCTCACTTTCAATATTCAGTGTGCTGAATCTCTGAGATCCCTCTACCTCAAAAAGGAAAGCTTTGACACTCTCCTGAGCAACTCCAAAGCACAACCCATATAACATACACACAAGTGTTAATCCACCTACACAAACAACTACACTCACCCTCCAGTACCCCATTCTCACTACATAAGCTAGGCCTTGTCGTCATGCACGCATGGAATAGGGACTGAACCCAGGGCCCTGTGCATGCAAAGCACAGACCCCATCACTCAAGCATATCCCCATACACACCAATACCACAATGGAATTCAACTTCTTCCGGCAGATAAATGAAGTGAAGGAAAACACAGAGCCAAAGAAACTCTGAATCTATTCTCAAAGTCTCAAAAACAATCATGGCTTCTTTTATTTACCCACAGTTAAATACTGTGAAATCCTCACCACTCTTCAGGTCCTTTGCCCATCCATGCCTTGGCAGATGAAGTTATCTCAGACTTTAGTTAAAATAAAACCACCAAGTCTCTTCACCTACCAAACTACCTCCTCCCTCTTTATAAACTTCATCTACCTACAGCCACACATCTTCTCTACAGGGAGATGTATGACACTGTCTACTGGAGTTTATCCTTCCAACTCTGTCCTCTCATTTCTCTATTCCAACACCCTGGAACGTCAATCACTCGCCTGTTTCTGCATCTTTAACCCCCCTGGTAGTTCATTATCACCTGTAAGCATTCTTGGATTATACAATTTGAAAAGAAGACAAGGGAAATGAAAGAGATGAAGAAAGGAGGGAGAAGAGAGGATGTATAAAGCTTTTTAAAATAACTTGTTTGTTCATTGGTATAGGTGTGCCCACCTATTGTAGGGTACGTGTGGAGGTCAGAGAACAATTTGAGGGAGTCAGTTCTTTGCTTCCATCATGTGAAATTCAGGAACTAAAGTCAGGTCATCAGGCTTGGTGGTAATTGCGTTTTGCCAGTGAGTATTGTTTTAAGTATTGTTTTAAGTATTGTTTAAGTATTGTTTTAAGCCTGGACTGTCTCCCATCCAGTGATGAGACAGCACCTCTGCTGGCTCACTGTTGAGTGTTCAGTCTGGACTGTGGTGCTGTTCTAAAGACTAGAGAGCCTCAGGGGTGGAGACCAGCAGGCTGAAGTAGATCCATAGGAGGGGTGGGGAATCTTGGAAGGCTAAGCCCACCCCAGGGTCCCAACCTACTTCCTGTCTGCTGCTACATGCTCCTAAAGCTGTGAAAACAGGTGCCAGCCTTTCCTAATATGATGGACTGACATCTCTAAAAGCATGAGCCAAAACCATGCCTTTCCTTCTGTAAGCTGTTCGTAACGGGGATTTTGTCAATTCCCTCCCATCAGCAACTAGGTTAGGGACACATGGACTTAAGTCTTCCCACCTCCTCCACTTCGTTCCATTACTCAGTCAACTCCAAAGAAACTTGTACAATTCTACTCACTTAGAAAAAAAAAAAAGAGTCTCCCAGAGGGCAGGCTCAGGCATCTGGTGTCTGACTAGGTAGCACTGCATTAAAGTAGTCAGGAATGGCTGACAAACCTTTCTTATTAAGCAGATAAACAGGTGAAAGAACCCAGATGGCATGCCCCTGGGCTCCCGCCATCCACCGTCACACTCCCAGCACAGCAGCTATCCCTTATCACAGGGAAGACTCTCAGGGACTCTTCTGTCACAGTAGGAAAAGTCCTGAGGTCAAAACTCTGCACTGACATGTTTTCAATGGCTTCAGACTCCTTAACTTTGCTTAACTGAACTGTTTGGAGCTAAGGAAATTTTCACACTCCTGGTATCTCAAAGTTTTAACGACAGATTCATCACAGGGCACAGCAACTTTATACCTAGGTTTAAGTGTCCAAGAGAACTGAAATGTATTCCCATAGGTAGATGAACTACAAGGTATGAAGGCAGTTTTCACAACTGAACCCACTTTTAAAACCAACTATTCATCTCCAAAATCACCTTAGACTCAACAATCTGTCAGAAAGTTTCACAGAACTTACTACCTGTTATTACAGTGCAGTTATGAGTCACAGAGGAAGCACTGGATCCTGAGGGCGTACGTCTCAGCACAGAACATGACCACAGTTTCTGTGTGCTACAAAGGCTTCTACCACATATCTGTGAGTGAACTGTGAATAAACTCACAGATGACACTACTGTGTCCACAGGAGTGTCATAGGAGTGTCAGCCATCTAGCTGACAGCCACACTAGGATGGAGATGTGCAGCAGCTCGGCCTGTTTTAGATATACACCAAAATTTTCAGAGTAACTTTCTCTTATTTGGGGGCTGGAGAGACGACTAGATGGCTTAGAGCACTGACTGCTCTTCTAGAGGATGTGGGTCTGATTTCTAGCATCTATATGGTGATTCACAACTTTCTCCTATTTCAAGTTTTTATATTTCAGTCCATGTTTCAAGTCTAAATATTTCATAAAAATATATAGACATATATAGAGATACAAAGAGATATGCACACTCAGACTAGATACATGAATTCTTTGCACAACTTTTACAACTTAAAAAGAGAGCTATCACACACATTACAAGCATATTCCCAAGTGAGCTAAAGAAGAACATCAGTCTCAGTTTACAACGAATCAGGAATGATTATGTCTGGTAAGCTGAAGGCTGAGGAGAAGTGTAACCGGGAGCATTCATTAGAAGTAGGAGGGAAAGTGTTGTCAAGTGTTGTCATAAACACGTGACTAAAAGTAAAGCCATCCTAGTTCCTAACGGAGCCCATCCTACAAGGTGACGTAAGCTAAAAACATAAGCAGAGGATGGACTAGGTGAACTCACTCCCAGCATTTCGTTATTAAACTACAAGTACATCACATATCTCAGTTTCAAAATGTGACAAGGATGAAGGCAAAGGGAAGCCTTGGTGTTACTGAGTCAGCCATGAATGGTTCAGGCCTCAGTGACAGCTGCAGACACTGTTATAGCAGTTATAGATAACTAACATATAGAGACACATATGTCACCTCCAGCTCAAGTACCTTGAATTAAGGAAATTAATCTTTTGGTGGGAGCATGTTAGTAGCATCAGACAGCAGATATCATGTTTAAAGTGTACTAACCAGAATGTACAAGGGACTGCAGTTCTAGAGGACAATCTGACAGGTAACACTGCAGTTCTAGAGGACAATCATCTGACAGGTAACACTGCAGTTCTAGAGGACAATCTGACAGGGAACACTGCAGTTCTAGAGGACAATCTGACAGGGAACACTGTAGTTCTAGAGGACAATCTGACAGGGAACACTGCAGTTCTAGAGGACAATCTGACAGGGAACACTGCAGTTCTAGAGGACAATCTGACAGGGAACACTGCAGTTCTAGAGGACAATCTGACAATCTGACAGGTAACTGGTCCCACACACCTGTTACTTCTTTTAACCGATTTGTTCTCCCACGGTGGATCAATCACAATTACATCAAATGTCTTACTGCCTGAAACCAAAAGCACAATTTCAGAAACACCCTCTGTACGTGATGAGTCTAAGAGCTAAACATGGAGACTGAGGACATCCCGGAGAGCCCTCGCTCTCATAAGCAAAGTTCTGGTCTGAATACGCAGAATTCTTCAAAAACAAAAACTAAACATGTTCCTCACAATTAAAGCACTTGCACACGCACACATGCACATGAACACGTGCATGCACACACACACACATATAAATAAATAAAAATATTGTTAAGATAAAAAAGTTTGAAGAACAAGATGATCAGCAGGTACAGGCTACCAATAGTGCTAATCTGGGCCGGTTCTCCAGAATGCACATAAGAGTAGAAGGGGCGAAGAGACCCCAAAAAACTGACCTCTGACCTCTACACACATAATAGACATACACAATGATAATAAGAAATTAATGCATTTCAAAAGTACAGTACTTTACTTTTTTTTTAACCTGGGGCCTTGGGCATGCTCAGCTGAGCTGCAGACCCAGCCCAAGAAAGAACTTTCATAATAAATACAAATACATTGGAATACAACTGAAAAGTTTATGGGATTTATTCAAAGACACTGTAACTCTGAACCTCTGAATTCTGAGCCTGTAACCCTAGCACCTAGAAAGTTAAGGCAAACTTGAGATGCCAAGGGCATCCTGCGGTGAGCAACAAGTTCGATGCCAGCCTGGACTTCTTAATAAGACTCTGTCTCAAAGATAAACAACAGAGACAAAGTCAGCATTTTAGAACTGAACTTACATTTGAAGTTCATACTCTAAACTTCTGAGACAACAGAAAAAGTATCTTGTCCTAAAACACATAAACTACTTACAGTTAAGAAGTGGCTGCATACAAGAAATGTCAGACAAAAGAAAGCTGCTCTTTGGTGGCAGCAGGTATTTCTGTCCCATTAGAGTAATTACTTTGGAAAAGCTGGAGTTATTTTCAATGATCTGTGAGGATAAATCCAGCTCAATAACAGACATATCATCCCCCATCAACTGTAGTGTCTGAAGCTCCATTTCACTTGAGGAAGGCAGACGCTTTGCCATCTCACATAACTCTGACAAATTGCAGGCATCGAGTGGTAAAGTGATGTGTCCACTAGTGCCGTCCTGCTTTCCAACACGTGGGGAAAGGAAACCACTTCTGAGACCTTCTTGGATTAACTGCGAAGATCCATCCAAAATCAGCTCTCTGATCTGTTAAAAACAAAAAAAATTGAAGTACATTAAAATGATGCTGGTTTTAAAGTCATTTTCCAGGGGCTGGAGAGATAGCTCAGCAGTTAAGAGCACTGACTGCCATTAAAGAGAATCTGGGTTCAAGTCCCAACTCCCACACAGTCGTGCACATCCACCTGTCAATCCAGTTTCAGGAGATCTGTCACCCTCTCTGGCCTCCAAAGGCACCAGGCATACACTTGGTACACAGACATTCATGCAGACAAAATATTCATATATAAAAAATAAAATTTAATTTGATTTAAATTTAAAGTATTTTTCAAATAATTAAATTTCTACTGTACTTTGAATATCTTAATATATTCAAATGCACTTTTTGAAGTCTAGAGTGACTTTATACCACAAAAGACTGTAAGACTACTAAGAGCATACTCTTGAAGTCTACAGAATGAAGCACACTGCATAAACTCACTATTAAGTAGTGTGACAAGCAGTCACACTATGAAACACTGAAACTTGGAGACAACAATGCATTTTCCTTGCTTGGGTTGTTTCTGTCAGATATCTGGAAGTGCTGATGAGAAAGATAACTACCACATATGCTCTGCACAGAAAAGCCTTACAACGTTCTTGTAGGATACAGGCTACAGGGGGCACCTATGAACATAAAGCAGAAATACAAAGTTCTTTGTCCTGGCCCACACATTCCGTATCTTCTGCCACCATCTGTGAAACTTCATGGTCAACTAAGGTGTTCACTTCCTAAACTCTCACCCTCACAGGAGTGCTGGGAATCACATCTCTCATCTCTCCGTCTGGGAGAAATACTGACCATATACACTGTTCTAAACTCATCTTTTAAAACCTGCTGGTGGGACATCCGGGGAAGAGAGAATTCTGGGATAGAGCCAGGCGAAAGATCTGCCTGGGAAGACATGAGGAGACAGATGCATGGAACCTGAACACAGGTAACCAGCCACATGGCAGAATGTAGATTATAATAAATGGGTTCTCTTAAGCCACGATTCTAGTCTGAGAAGAGCATAGCTATATGGCAAAGGTATATGTAAATATATTTTGAGTCTGAGTCTTATTTCTGGGCACATGGGACTGGGAGGCAGAACCAAACTTCTACATGAATTTCCCTCCCTTCTACTTCCTGTGTATCTCTCTATCCATCCTCCTGACTTTCTCTTACTCTCTATGGTATTTTCCTATGTTCACTCTCTATCAACTGTTTGTTCCACCTCTAAACCTATGGTTGACTTTAATCCTGATAACAACAAACAGAAAGCTCTTGGATTAAAGGTGTGTGCCAGGGCTGAGCCACTCCACAACTAGAAACAGGTTTTCCAGTAAACAACACAATCTCAGGGTTCACAGTGTGATCAAATATCCTGCATCATTACCCATAAATAACACAACTAACACAAAAACGCAATTAACAACACAAAAACAGCACAGATACCGAAGTTCTCAATACTACACATAGGAGCAGTTACTGAACATACATCCTTTTTAACCCCCCCAGGGTACAATCTCCAAGATAATTCATATGCTGGCAACGAAACAATGCTCTTTAAAGAACTAGAATTTATTTTTATACCCCAAAGGACTTAAGTTGGAAATCAAGAAAAAAATGATACTAAGATCAACCCCAAATGCAAATGAGATAGTTCTCTTCTAAATAATTCATGCAGGTCAAAGATGAAATCACAGGAGAGATTAGAAAATGTTTTTCTCCCAATGGAAGTAAAAATATAAAATATCAAGATACAAAGAATCACAGTAAGATCGCATTCATACCCAGCAGGATGGCAATTTCAAAACAAAATTGAATGCTTTGGTGAAAACACTGGAACCTTTATGCACCATTACAGTTACAAATCAAAATAGAATGCTCTGGTAAAAAAAAAAAAATGGAACCTTTATGCACTGTTAATGGCAGCTATAAAAAACATGATGGTAGTTTCTGGAGAAAAAAAGAATTCAATATATAATCTAGTTATTCCATGACTTCTATAGTAGCAATCTGAATATATCTACCAAATGTTCAGACCAAGAGAAGAAAATTGGGGGAAAGGGGAACAAAATAATGCATGCTTTTTCTTATGCAGAGTGTAGATTTGATGATATATATGCATATCATTATTAATTCTGTGTGCGTGCGTGCGTGCGTGCGTGCGTGCGTGCGTGCGTGCGTGTGTGTGTGTGTGTGTGTGTGTGTGTGTGTGTGAAGGAAGAAGGGGGACAACTTGGAGGGAGGAGGGGACTAGCAACAAGGGTTAAAAAGGTGAAGGGTGGCAGAGGTGGAACAGAAGCAAAGTACAATGATACATCTGTATACATGTCATGATAAGCCCCATTGTTTTCTAGGATAACTAAAATAATTAATTTTTAAAAATCAACAATTCATCATCATGGTTCAAAGCATCAAACTCTGACCATGGGAGCTGGCCCTCTGCAGACTACCTCTACACAGCTGCCCATCTACTGCTATCGGATATTTACTCCAGTGTTTAACAGTTTGGAAGTTTTCTTGTTATTTTCAGGGATTTTTTCCTACTGTGAATTGTCAGCATTCTCTTCATAATTCCCCATGTTACATATTTCATCCTCACATCGTTCCCAATACTGAAAATACAGACTGTTCAGACTTTTTAGAAGTTCTAATTCAGTCTATGCGTGTTTTAGCAGGTCGGACTCTGCAAAAGCACCTTACCCCGCAGACTTCACGTATAAAATGGCCTTGTTCCACTCTCCCGGACTGGTCCCCTTCTTACCCCCAAATAGCCCTCTGTTCTCATGTCATATACAAATACACAGTCAGATGACAGTCTATGCTCAGCTGTTTGTTGCTGAACTAACTTCAACACACGAAGGGAAACACGAGACAGTAAGAGCGCTGAAGCGTCCTCCATAAACTCAACCAACAACACAAGGTCACAGCCATCAACCACCTGAGCTGATAGAAGCATGTATAGTGTTAATAAGACTGGCTTAAAATGTTCATTACAAAGAAGAAACAATAAACCACTATCAAACTTAACTCTGACCAAAACAAATGCTTTATTTCTAAGACACAGTCTTATTTATTTTGGTCCTTTTTAAATGCTACTTCACACTAATCTTCCTGCATGATCAATATTTTCATCCTACCTTTGTATGATACTCCATGGCGTCCAATTCACCTTGATTGAAAGCAATGCATCTTTTACGCTTCTAAAGAGAAAGTGACAAGAAAAAAAAATCTTGTAGTTTATCACAAAGCTGCTAGATTTTATTTTTTCTACTACATTTTTAATATTGTATCTATTTTTTAAAGGTAAGACGTTCCACTGAGACCAAAAATCAATGCAAAGGGTACTAGTGCCCATGGAATAAGAACTGTGCTTCTTCATAAGCAGTGCCACAGTTACCTATCAGTTTATATGCATATGACATAATTACTCTCAACTTTCTTCTGAACATGAACCATCTATAAGCTATCAAAGAAAATCCAGGGCTGTAGCAAAGGGCCAGTGGTTAAGAGCACTGTTCTTGCAAAAGGTCCAGGTCTAGTTCTCAGCACCCACTTGGTCACTTATGACTATAATTCCAGTTGCAGAGGATGTGACGCCCTCTCCTGGCCTCTGCAGGCACCAGACATACATACGGTGCACAGAGGGTCATATAGGCAAAACATACACACACACATACACATACACACACACACACACACACACACACACACACACATATATATCAAATAAGAAAGAAGGAAGGAAGGAATTTTTTTCATTTTTTTATTGGATATTTTATTAACATTTCAGACACTATTCCCTTACCCCATCCCCCCCACCCACCCAGGAACCCCCTATTCCGTCCCCCCTCCTCCTGCTTCTCTGCAGATATGCCCCTACCTACCACCCCCCCACCTCCCCACCCTTGAATTCCCCCTCCACTGGTCCAGCCTTCATGGGATCAAGGATCTCCTCTCCCAACTACGCCCAACAGGGCCATCCTTTCTTACACACACACACACACACACACACACACACACACACACACACACAGCTGAGCCATGGGTCCCTCCCTAAGTGCTCCCAGGCTGGTGGTTTAGTTTAGACCCTAGGAGCTCTGTTTGGTTACCATGAGGAAGGAATCTTAAAGAAAGTATGGTATCCCAAGCCTGCAATACCAGGAAATGAAAGATAGGGGCAGGAAGGGTAGGAGTTCAAGGTCATCCTCTGCTACACAGTGGATTCCACAACAGCCTGGTCTACCTGGACCCTGTTCAAAAAAAGGGAGGGGAGGAGAGGGGGGGAGGGGAGAGAGGGAGGGAGAAAAAGAGGGAGAGAGAGGGGGAGAGAGAGAGAGAGACTGACTACATCCAACATCCAAGTACAGCTATAATCCCAGCAGCCAGGAGTTAGAAGGGTCAAGTTCAAAGCTAACCTTAGCAACATAGTAAAACTGCCTCAGGGGGGAAATGTCAATTTTAACATATTTTAAAAGGTACTTAGAGGGCTGTCAAGAAAACTGTCCTCTGGCCTCCAGATGCACACCATTGCACAAGCACACCTACACACACACACAATAAATAAATGGAAATGTTTAAAGGCCTTTAGAATTGATCTGAGGGGTACAGACAAATCAGTTTTCCTAGCAATATTCTGCACCTGACTATACCACACAACAGAGCATAAGAACAGAAACATAAGCTGTAACTTCTTTTCATTGCTGACTTGCTATTAACATAGTATCAGATTCTCAACAGGCTAAAATATATGTTGGCTAATGACATAAAAAGATTAAGATTAGGCTAATTATGTAACTTCATTAGCATATCAGAAAGAAGATAAATTTCATTATGATAGTATTAATTACATATGCTGATATGTATCTTCCACATTAAAATGGGAAGTTTGTCAGGCATGGTGGCATGCACCTAGCATCACAACACTGCAGAGGCAGAGCCATGAGTTTAAAACAGCCTGGTCTACACAGTGAGTCCAAGATAGCCTGAACTACAGTTAGACATCTCATTAAAAACAAACAAAAAACCCAACTTCTTACCCAAGCTAAAGTCAAATGCTTGGTGGTCTGAATTAGTGACAGTGATACATCTGAGGTTTTCTTTTCTGTGCTTCACATGTAGATGAATCAATACATACTTGTTGAAAAGGAAAAATGTGTCCAAGAAAAAAAACATGCATTTCTGACTGCATTTCAGGTCCCTCCAAGGGTGGAATAGGTTACTACGAGTAACTTCCTTACTCTAATTCTTAGCATGCTACCCTAATTTTTTAACCAATTATAAGGTACAGTAGATATAGGAACTGTGCTTGTCTTGTTTCACCATTATGCACAAAAATAGATGGACAGAGCTCACACATTTGCTAAATGAACAATCATTCATTCTTATCCCTAACAAGACAATATCTAAATAGAGTTTCTCATGAAACACATTCAAAAGATGAACGCATACACTGAAGGTGCTTGCTGCTGAGCTTGACCACCTCAGTTCAGTCTCCAGGGCCAATGGTCAACATGGTAGAAGGAAAAACCCTACTCCCACCATTTAATCCTGTCTAGTATGCGCAAATGTCTATTTTTGGTGGTGGTTATTGTTTGGGGAGAGGGGCTATTTTATTTTTTGGGAGAGGATATCATATGGCCCAAGCTGGCCATGAACTCACTGTACAGCCAAGGGTGGCCTTATGTTCCTGATCCTCCTGCTTCTACCTCCCAAGTACTGGAATTATGACTGTGTACCCTGTATCAGACTCAAACTTCTGGAAAACTGTCCCAAAGTATAAACTCAAACACAAGAACCTTATAAACATGTGTAGCAGGATACTTATTCTGCTACATTGTATTCACAGTGGAGCTCAGTGATTAGGCAGTAGAAGAGGAGGTGGAGCTGGGAGAGAAAGAAAAGAAGGGAAGGGGAGAAAAAGAGGAAGGGGAGGGAAGAAATAGAGGAAGGGGAGGAGAAGGAGGCTATCAGCCACAGAGAACCACAGGTGGGTCAAAAGCTGTCCTGGGTAGCAACTTCCATCAAAAGGTTAGATATGGGGTAACAACTCTAATTGTGTGGGCATCTTGTTGATTGAGCATTTCTAAATATATAAATCTTTTAGATAATAACTAAGCTTTAAGAGTCTCATTTCTACCGAGTACTGCGAGGATGGCAATATTGTCTGGGGTTCAGCTGAGCTTTGTGGATACAAAGACAAATGAGGTTGACGAGTATGGTGTGCGAAAAACATGCTTTTCCATAAAGGCATATGAGCATGTAACAAAATCCAGTTGTGATGAATAAATTCACTTTAATCTGCTACACCTGGAAGGGATACAAAAGCACAACCCAAGAACATTCATTATTTTGAAGAATCTGAGGTCACAAGACTGGCTTTACTTGAGGTTTTGTCACAAGTATTTATAATACGTTTGTTTAGTCACTCATTCACTGTGCACTGTGGGGAGTGGTGCACAGCCACTGCACCCAGGTGGAGGTCAGAGGACAACTTCTGGGAGGCAGTTCTCTCCTCCCACCAAGTGGGCCCTTGTGATCAAAATTAGACCATGAGGCTCAGCAGCAGGCACCTTTACCTTCTGGGTCATCTCTCCTGGCCTCTGTTTACATTTTGAAACAAGCAATGTGTTGTTCTAGAATAGTAGAATGTTAGAAAGTATAATTAAAGGTAGGTGACGACACGTGCTTAGAATCCCAGCACTTGGGAAGTGGAGGCAGGAGAATAAGAAGCTTGCATCCTCCACCACACAAAGTGTTGGAGGGCAACCCACAATGCTCTTGGGTATGTTAACACCTTCTGCATCACTAACTTTTTTATACTTAGAAAATGGGAAGATGTTAGAAATACTTAATGAAATTTTTGCTTCATGTAAAAAAAAAAAAAAAAAAAAAGTTTAAAACTTCCTACCTTCCCAACAGAAACGGAGACCTCTGGTTTATCACCGGTCACTAGATTTTCGTTTTCCTTACTTTGTTGGCGCTCCTTGTGAACAGCTGGAGTTATGTAAGGTTTGGTGACATTGAATAGCTCAGATCGGAAAACGTATTTTTGGGTGACCACTTCACAGCTTCCTCCATCCTCGCTGCCTGACACAGTAGTAGAGTCAGGAGCAAAGCTCGTAGCAGGAGCTCCAAAAGGAGACACAGGATCCAGCTGAAGAGAATCCAGGTAGACAGAAGAAGTGGGCTTGTTTTTACTACAAAAAGGCTCTCGATGATGGCGAAGTTGATAGTTTACTTTGTTAATGAAAGCAAGATGATCCAGTAACCACCCAGGTGGCAAACAATGCACCACAGACATTCTTTTTTTTTTTTTTTTTTAAAAAGGAATCTGATAATCAAGAATCAGAACTAGGGTTGGGAGTATAGCTCAGTGTGGGGGGTCCTGGTTTTGATACCCAATGTTGTAATTAAATTCTTAATGTCCTATATCTCAATGATGTAGTTTGTACACACAGGTAGGTTTTATATTTAAACATACAAGGTGAGTGTGTGCATACCAACTCGAAGGAAAAATGCAACACTTTAAATGTCTTTTAATTTCAGAATTGGTCATTCAAAATGTTCAGGCAACTTAGCCAAAGACGCTTTTTAGTTTGATCCTCTTTTCTTCCGGTGCCGCCCATGGTCCTGTTTTGGTCCTTGAATCAAGCAAGGCACTAGTCCACATCGTCCAAGTATTCAAGTCACTAAATCCTTAAAAGGTGAGTGTCCTGTCAAGTCAAAGGACAGTCATTACCTACAAGAATCCACCCTTCTTAAATTACATAAACCTATTTAGAGAAGGCCACAGAATTTCAAGGAGAGCCATTGTGTTTTCAAACTACATTTGCTATAGGAAGTCATTGCATTACCTGATCCCTGCCCTACCTAATCGGTATCAGTGGAGGAGCAGTAAGATTAAGACTGCTCCAGCCAAACCAAATACACTAGGAATAGTGTATCAGACGCACACAACTTAACTGGTTTGCTAGGTCAGAATTTGAAGGTTTATAATCTGTTTGAGCCACACTCCAGTAACCAGGTTTTTCAGAACTTCAATATCTTCATTTAAGATATGTTTTGCATTTCTGGATACAGCTTTATTACAATGTAGTGGAAACCTTAAGAGAGCACAGAACAAGAAATAAATTAAAGGCACATCTAATTGCATTAATAGTCAAATTTCTTATGCAATTGACCATAGACTAGTGTTTGTTTTTTAAAGGCAGGGTCTCACTAGGTCGCCCTGGAGCACAATTAGATCAGACTGGCCTCAAATTCAACATACTCTCCAGGAAGATCTGTTTCTGCTTCAAGTACTGGGATTAAAGGTGTGTCCCGCATTCAAGCTAAGTTATTTGATTTTACTGAGCCTAAGTTTTTTGTTTTTTGTTTTTTTGTGGGTTTTTTTGGTCTTGGAGGTTGTATGTGTGTGCTTTGATCGTTTGTTTGTTTGTTTGGGGGGATTGTTTTGTTGTTTAGGGTTTTGGTTGTTTTGTTTTGAGATAGTGTCTATGTTGCTCTAGCTGTCCCGGAACTCACTATGTAAACCAGGCTGGCCTCGAACTCACAGAGATCCTCCCCTGCCTCCGGAGCGTGGAAATTAAAGGCGTGTACTACAACGCCCGACCAAAAAGATCATTTTTTTGTTCTGTTGCCATTAATTTGGAGAAGTAAATGAGATAATCCCCATCAACTGCTGCTCAATGAGTCTGAAATATAACACCAGCTAATATATCTGCTGACCGATTAGGTGATGGGGATCTTCGTGATACCTGCGATTTTGGTTTCCCGGTCGGGACGTGAACTGAGGAGACAGTGTGAGCGCTAGGGAACCTCAAACTCAAACGACTGCTTAGCCCCAAACTACATTTCTAGCTAATGTCACAACAGCTCCGAGATCCAGGAATCTAAACTTTAGCCCAGGGACCCGCCACCTCCGTCCGGAAACTGGTAACAACTGCTTGTAGTTCCGACGCTGGGCGGCGGTAATCTACAGCACTCGGGACAAACTGACTATAAATATCCTTCAGACTCTTCCGCCACAGCACTCGACAGCCTCTCCTATCGTCAGGAAACCTCACGCCGGCTCCCAGGCTCGCCCCGTGGAAACAGCACTCATCTAAAGCCGGTCCCGGCCGCTTTCCTTTCGGAGACAAACCCTCGCATCCCTAGTTCCTGGGAGCAGCCATATTGCTGTACGGAACGCGACTCCAGGAAGGCTCGGACCGCTCGGCCCGACGGCGCTACTCGTCCTAGAAGCCAGCTTCCCACAACTCTGCGACACTCCCCTCGAGACACGGACGCCGCCGAAGACCCAGGAGGGACCCGGAGCGCGCGGCGGCACCGACGCGCACACTTCCGGCGACGAGGGCGGGCGCTGAAGGAGCGCGCGGCGGCGCCGACGCGCACACTTCCGGCGACGAGGGCGGGCGCTGAAGGAGCGCGCATGCGTACTCGCCGCCGCAGGCGTCCTGATGTCAGCGCTGGCGGAAATTTTAAAATTCAAACCGCCCCGGGTTGACTGAAGAGGAAGCTCTTGTTTTGGCGGCTGTTTTCCTGCGCAGTCGTGCTGTTTACTGAAAACTGGGCGCTGGTGCTGGGTCTCATTGAGAAGCCGAGAGAAAGGTAACTGCAGAGATGGAGTCAGTTCTGTCTGCGTTAAAATGCTCCGCGGTGCTAGAGCTGTTATGAGGGAGCTGGGGTGAGATCTGCTCGGCTCCGCTTTACGCCGGCAAGGTTTGTAGCGGGAGAGGGGGATGCTAACAGGTAAGACGGGGGGCAGCTGATTGGTGTGCTACGTTCCCAATGCTTCATCTTAAAGGCCGCGTACCCACAAGGACTGGAAAACAGTGAAATCATGAGAGTAAAATTAAGTGGAATGCAAGCCGCCAAAACAAGGAGGGACGTGACTCAGTGCGCAGCCTAGCGTGCTAAAGGGCCTGGCTCTCTATCCCCAGCTCAAAACAAAACAACAAAGTGCAATCTGTCTAACCCTCTTTGGAATCTAGGGCAGGACCTTGAAAAGGCTGAGTGCATAGTGTCTGATGCTGCAGAGATGGAGACGGAATCCGACGTAGACATTATTTTGATACTTATTTTGAGAGTGAGAGCGTCCTGTGTTGTGAACCGGATTGTTTATCTTTGTTGAAAGGGGGATTCGAACCAGAAAGAAAGTAATATTAGCTGAGAAACAGTGGGTTAATCGTAAACCAGGTGTGGTAAAGTAGTAAGGTTTGTGCACTGTGTACTTAGATGCTACTTTTTATGCCCAGAAATCTGGTTGTAGTCCGGAGGTTGACTTGGTCAAGCATCTTTGGTTTCAGTGTTATGTAAAAATTGTTTTTTATCTCTTCTGATTGGTAGATTAATTAAGAGCTGATCAGCCAATTAGCTGAGCAGGATTCTGATCCCAATCCGGGGTACTAAAGAGACCAGAGAAGTAGTTATGAAGAGACAATGTGGCTAGACTAGAGATGTCAGGAAAGGGGCAACCATAAGAACACATGCATGGACCTGGGTGAGCTAAGGCAAGACTCAGATTGCAGGTAAAGAAAGGACCATGTGTCTGGGCAGTGGTGGCGCACGCCTTTAATCCCAGCACTTGAGAGGCAGAGGCAGGCGGATTTCTGAGTTTGAGGCCAGCCTGGTCTACAGAGTGAGTTCTAGGACAGCCAGGGCTACACAGAGAAACCCTGTCTCAAAAAAAAAAAAAAAGAAAAAAAGGACCATGTATCTGGGCAGTAGGCAGCCATAGAGACTTAGAACCGCTCAGAACCTGCTCAATTTAGTGCCAGTAACTTGTTAGTGAAAATGCCAGGTCTCTATGTCATTCACTCCGAACCAAAACGAAGAAACATTATGCAGTTATTTGGAAGCAAAGAGGGCGAAAGAAAAAACCCCAAGAAGTACTACTATACTTTTTTTGAAACCAAAGGAAACATTCTGAGGGAGGAGTAAAGGAGCCTGAGATTACTTGTCGAGCAGCTCATGAATTGCCATTAAAATAGACACAAGAGATAGCAGTGATGTGCTCAGGGCTAACATACAGAAATCTTGTGATCACGGATTGCTGTGTGATGCAGAAATCATACATTGTTCATCCTTGTGTTGTGTTGTACATGTCTAGTGTTTAAGTGTATCTAATACTTGAAGTTGCATAGATGTTCTTTGTGAGAACCTCTGTTTACATGAATAAATACAGCATACAAGGAAAAGGTTGTCGTAGAGGAACAAACTTAATTCCTTTTGTATTCGAGGATAAAGAGAATAACTGTTGCTTAATTAACTACTTGCATCTGGAACATCTTCCTAATACTGAAATCTTAAACTAGGCTACAAGCATGAAGCGCAGTTCGGTTTCCACCTGTGGTGCTGGCCGCCTCTCTATGCAGGAGTTAAGGTCCGTGGACCTCAATAAACCAGGCCTTCACACCCCTCAAACGTAAGTGCCTCACCTGTGGTTCTCTGCTGCCTAGTTGACTGTCTAGAGTAAAGGATGGTTAGTACAAAAGTCTAAGTGATCTCTTGGTGAATCTTGTCTCTTTCCAGTAATACTGGATTTGGGGGCCAGTGAAATCTAAAAGTGGACATGATGCTAGGTTCTAGCGCATTCTCTCCCTCTCGAGTTCCCAAAGTCTTACTCTGAATGCTATGAAATGATTGTCAATGCTTGCCTTCCTCTTTTTCCTTTGGAATTAACCTTTGAGCGGGCACCCTGGTCTAACTCATAATTTATTAAAATGATTCCCACTACTAAAGGTAGTTATAAAATCGAAGCAGATTTATTTGTTTTGGTGATAAGCTATAAAGTTATTTCCTCAAGTTTGGGGGCAGTGCGGTCACACATGTACCGTCCCAGTACTCAAAAGGCTCTAGGAGGAAAATGGCGAAATGTGAGTGAGTTCAAGGCCAGTGCAGCTGTATAGTAAGTTCCCCAGCTTGTAGAGTTCACAGAACAACCAACCAAAGAGTGTCTTATGGTGAACATCAGTTTTTCACTCTGAGATGGCTCTTCCAGTTAACAGAAGGCTATCTGTAACGCACTGTGTACCCATAGCTATACTGTCTACCAATGAGCTAGCCACTTAATAAGCCATTCTTAAATCACTTGGTTTGGTAGAGTATGAGGATCCACTACTTTTAGAAATTTGAACTATTTATATATTTTTCTTCTGGATACTTGAAGCACTTCTTTTAACCACAGCACGTTGCTTACACCAAAAAAAAAGATTTTGTGCGTTGAATTGTACTTAAAAGCAAAAATGTTACCGTTGCCATTTTGTTTCATAATTTAGAAAATGGCTGTACCCAGTACAGCACTGAGAGAAAAATTTTGAGTCTGAGGCTAACCCAGATACATAGTGAGTCCTAGGACATCCTGGAATACAGACTAAGACCCTAACTCAAAATTTTAAAAAGGAGGCTTTAAAAGAAAAAAATTCAAAGAAGCCTGTCAGCCTATAATTAAGTATTTCTTATTTTTTTATTTAAACACAAAGTTTTTATCCATACATAAATGAATTTTTTTAACCTACTTTATTTATGGTTGATATATTTCTTTTTAGATTTATTTATTTTATGTATGTGAGTACACTGTCTGTGTCTTCAGACACACCAGAAGAGAGCATCCCATCCCATTATGGATGGTTGTGAGCCATTATGTAGTTGCTGGGAATTGAACTCAGGACTTCTGAAAGAGCAGTCAGTGTTCTTAACCACTGAGCCATCTCTCCAGCACCACATAAATAAATTTTAAGATTAAAAAAACATAGATTAAAATTTTTAACATTTTTAAAATTATACTGTCTTTAAGCTCATCCCCATGATAACAGCTGCCAAAAACTTATATGATTTTCAGAAACGTTTGTGGGTAGTGGGAAAGAGGTATTAACTCTTAACATATTTCAAAAATCGCTTAACCTGATATTCTTATATTTATTTTAAAGAGTTGTTTTCTCTTTTTCTTTAAAGCAAAGAGAGATCCACCTTTGGAAAGCTGAGTACGCACAAACCTACATCTGAAAGAAAAGTCTCAATATTTGGGAAAAGGTAATGAGGTTTTTAATTATATTTAATGAGTAGATTCTTATAGACATTCATTCACTTAGAGATCAATAAT